GGGAGGGGGAAAAAGATTAAAGAAAAGGAGATCAGTTCTCTTGCTGGAATATACTTGGGAAACCCCAAGGAGGAATCAAAGGAGATGCCAAGATTTTGAATCTAAGGCAGGGATTGGCAAACATTTTCTAGACAGGGCCAGACTGTAAATAAGGCTTTGCTGGTCATAGGTGTCTCCTGCAACCCCTTAACTCTGCCACCACAGAGCAAAAGCAGCCCTACATAATACTTAAAACAAATGGGTGTGTCTGTGTTCCAATAAAACTTCATTTACAAAAACAGCAGTAGGTCAGATTTGGCCCAAGGCCAGATTTGCTGATGCTTAGCCTAAGAAAATAAAAAGACAGCCACTAGCTGTCCGGAGAGGCTGGCTGAGAACTGGAATAGGAAGTAAGAAATTCACAAGGAAACACTAAATCTGGGGATCCACTAATGCCCACCAAGTCTCCGGAAATGCAAGTCAGATGGCTGGGAGTGAAAGTTGGGGTAGATTTTAGAAATGTATTCCAAAGTGATAGATGATGATAATGGATGCACTGGTCCCTAAGGGTGGTGTGGAGGAAATCCAATCGAGTACAAAACTTTAAGGTTGCTTAGTGAAGTAAAAACATTTTCTCAGAATAAAAATATTAGTACAGACAACGAAAAAGGGGTAACATCACCACCACCAACAATACTGTAACAACAACAATAATCATGGTTAGCATTTACATGGCACCTCATCAAGGTAATCATTACTTAGTTCGTTATGTAACATACTAGAGAACAATACAGCCAATATGCAACAACTGAGGAAAAATGTTCTGCTGACAGTATAAACATTAAATCGAGTCATGAAACAGTCCAAAGACGATTATAAGGGAGTAAGCAGAACACAAGAAAATTCAGAGGAGAAGTTCAACATAGAGATGCTTGATTAAGTAATTTATTTAAAATATTATTTCATGCTTTTATTGAGCTTGGCTTTAAAATGAGAGGGAAGACCAGACAATCTAAGCCAAAAATCATACCCCAGTTATGAAATATTAATGTCACACTTCCTATGTGACCCAATAAAGTAGCAAAAGTTTTAAGGCAATTTCCCAAAGATTATTCTTGCTCTAAACATTCCCTTCTTACATCCTATTCTTTTTGCTTAGTGAGCTTTCTTTGTTCAGGTTAATAAAAGTCTGGGAAGAAATATCATTAGAAACATACCTAGCACAGACATATTTTTAAAAGCTTTATCTTTCAAAATGTGAATGCTGATAAGAATAATACCTTAATAAATTTAAATAATACCAATTTCCATATCTTCACTTTAGATGGCCTTGAAATGTTCATTAAAATGAAAACTGAATGTAAAGTTAATTCAATAAAATCTTTCGTATTTTCTTGAAACATATTTCTAAATTAAAATAGAAACACAGCCTTGCCTGGAGCATGAACTTAATATGGAAAACATAAAGAAACCTTTCCCTCATTCCATTTGAGAAACATGGGAGTGAAGTGATTTTTGCAAATCATAGGCTCTGGAGCCAGACTGCCTGGGTTCAAATACTGGCTCTGCTGTTTAGTACGGAACTGTCGGTGAATTACCTCACCTCTCTGTGCTTCAGTTTCTGCATCTGTAACAGAAGTTCCTGCCTCATGAGCTTGTGAGAGTTAGATGTGTTAATAAATGTCCTTGGAAAGCTGCTGGCACATAGTAAGAACTCCATAAATGTTCACTATTATTTAAGAGCATTATGAAACTCTATAAATACTGACATGGAGACGCGTCCACAATATATAAGGTTATAAGAAAACGCCAAGTTATAGAATGGGATGTCCCATGTTTATGTCCCATGTTTATAAACATTTCAAGAAGGCATATGCATAGAATGAATAAATTCTGAAAGGAAATATTCTAAACTTATATAACAACTATTTCTATTAATAAGAAATTAAGAAAATAAAGAAGACACTGTTCTTAACAGCTTGACACCAAATTAGGGCACAGAGCAAGAACTGGGCAGCAGCAGTGGGAAGGCATCACCCCAGGACTGGGACCATCTAGGATGACGGATGTGCCACAGCCCTCCCTGTATACTTTCCTGACTTGCTCTGGGTAACCTCAAAGAGCTCCCCAACATGGGCAGAGCTCCTTCTGGATAGGAAGCTTTCCCAATTAAACATATTTTACCTAAAAGGTCAATATTTTCTATAATAGCCATCATAAAGAGTTGTGTGGTTTCTGCTTTATTTCCTCAGAGGCAGAGAGTTCATTACTTTAAATTTCCTATTTAATCACTGAATACCTGATTTTGCCCATATGTTCTCATTATTAAATTCTATCTCATATAGCTTCAACTTACTCATCCAAATTTACTTTCTTTTACCTCCCAAAGCTTTATCCCCTACATCCTAAATCATGCTTAGTCAAAAAATATGTAACCATTCTAAAGGAAATGTTTCTAACATATATGACATGCTTACATTTCTTATCTGTGTGTATATATATATAATATACATATATAATGATTACATATTATCATATAGTATAATGTGAATATATATAGTGACTGTAATTGAACCTGTAGTTGATTGCCTTAATCACTGTATATATAGAATTAGACATCTGTAAGAGACATCCAAAACTTTCTAGCCCCGTCATTTCATTTTATAAAACAGGAAACTGAGGCTCTGAAAGATTAAATAGCTTGCCAGTGGGCAAAGTGAAGACAATTCTGGCAGTCGTCCATCACTGCCCGTTGCTTAGACATAATGATGTCTTAAACCAGAGCTTACCAAGATCCATAAGGATGAGTGGCCCCATAATAAATAATGTCAGTAAGCCATAATATTGATTCTTCTCTTTCTTTTGGGTCAGCTATTAGTTCTTAATATGTTATTTAACTTTTTACTCAATCTACAGCCACCATTTCTAACTTACGTAATGAATCTAGGAAAATTTCTGGAATAATGAAAATCAATAACTTCATCTAATATGATTTTCACAAATTCATTAATAAAATATATGTGTACTATACTTAGAGGCCAGTCAGATATCAATAGGAATTTGTGCTTCAAGGAATATACATGAAGTTGAAAAAGCCAAAACTACACATATGCAAATTAAATAGAAATAGAAATGGACACTTGAAGTAAAAGGATAGTTCATTAATAAGTACAAATAAGTTTACAAACCAGTGTCCCCCAAACTCTTTATCAAGGCACCCACCAGTTTAAAAAAAAGATAAAGAGGAAGAGAGAGAGAGAGAGAGAAATGTACCCCAGCTGCATAAATGCATATAATTGTATATAAATCATACACATGTATATAAATCATAAATGTCAAAATATTGTAAAAACTATAAATATGTAGTGTTGATGGGCACTAGACTTATTGAGGTGATCATTTCATAAATTATATAAA